TGTCCTCTTCTCCACAGACGCCACAGACACATTTAGTGTCAGTGAACACATTACACTGTCCTCTTCTCCACAGACGCCACAGACACAGCAGCAGCTGTGACTCTGCAGCTGTGTATGATACGCGACTCCTCTGCTCACTGACAAAAAAACAACGCAGAAAGTTAAGTGAAAGCAGCCATAGCGATCACAGTCACTGACCTGCAGATTCTCAAGATCAGTTTTATCACAGTCTGTGTTTGGACAAATACAGGAGGTCATTTGCATATTAAATTATACTAAATTAGAGCGAATAGGGCTGAAGTAAACAAACTTGTTTCACTTCCGGGTAATTGACGCTGAATGTATGAAATACCTATTAAAAATGGTTAATTATTGCATTTTCTAGTTCCCAAATCCAGTTATTATAATACATCTAAAAAACCAAAATGGTCATTTTTGTATATTGCTGTGTGCCTGAAAATGATTTTTTCGATTTTCCATTTCCCTTCAAAATAGAAATTGTATTGAACGCAAAAGTGTTCGGCAAACACATCACAGAAACAGGAATAGGGCAAAAAAATAAATGATAAAAGTTTTAGTCAAATGTAATTTTTGAAAACAAAATGTTCTGCTCAATTGTGAATACATTGAAAACATGTATCAATCATTTCAATTAAATAATTTTTCTTTCTGAATCGATAGATATCTTTTGCAACATTTTTGTCATGATTCTAATGCTATTTTGTCTTGTTCAGCACTTAGAGTTTCCTTGTGGATGAATTGTGCTATACAAATAAAACTGCCTTGCCTTGGTACAAATGATTAGTGTGACTGGCACACACACACACACACAAGGATTGGATCATATTTATTCCTGATGTAGATTTTGTACATGAAGCTGCCAAAAAGACACAAAATAGACAGACTGAGCAGAGCGGTCCGGACCCTCCGGACCCAAACCATTCCCACTTAGGACCTCACATACATGAAGTGTCCCGCTCCAGTCCCATGGCCAAGTAACGACCCTAGAACTAGCATTGAAAAGGCACTTTGCACAAGAACATTGAAACATTTCATTTCAATATAAGGTCCATTTGACTACACTTAAAAATCAGGAATATACCAGTAGTTGTAATAAAATGTGTGCCTGCATTACAACAGGGAAATGGATTGTTTCAGACTTAAGTTTGGCCTACAGTGACTTTGGTTAACCTGTGCTTCAGAGCTGGGACCAGTAAAACTATGATTGTTCTCACCAACATTGTCCCTGCACCTTTGACTTTGTACACAAAGATTGGAAGAAAAAAAAACATACAAGGAGTTATGTACTTGTCAACTAGAGGAAGTCTGAAGTAGCCCTACTCTGCTCTGGAGCTGCTCCATTTTCAAAACCACAATGGAACTGTGTAAGTTGTAATCCCATTTGTTCATTCTACTTCCACAAGCCTTTCTTTTGAAACAAACATGTATTTTCTATTAAACATAAAAAAATCAGGTACCTCAGCTTTAAGAGGGACCTGCACTTTTCCTACCCATTTTCTTAGATACATTTAACTGCAAAATGGAACCACAACTGGGCCAGTAGTACAGGGTCTATAGGACTAGAGAGGTGTGGGTAAAACCAGAGATAAAAATGCATTGTCCATAGTGTTTAAAATTGACACTTAATGATAACAGTGTCAGAATAACGCCATCTGAAAGATCACGTGGCTTTCCTATGGCTCAAAAAGCAACAGCTTACAACATGTGAACTTTCATTTTAGTAGAACATGGGCATTGGCCAAAGCATTAATGTAGATTATCAAAAAAAAAATGTGTAACTACAATCCAATAACGACCCCGCATTGTTCACGTGGCTGTAAATGGTACTGCAGAAGACATTTCACAACACTGAAAAAAATATATATATTTGAGAAAGAGTTTGTTTTTTAATATTACAAAAACCTGTATGCTTTGAGATGTGTTGCATATTGGTTTAGGGATTGCACTTAAAGTTATTAACATTCGAACAGTTGACATTGTTCTCGGTGTTGGGATACATTCTGCTTCAGAAAGGAGCGGTTTGTGCCTGGTGCGTGCTGGCCACAGTAATTGAAAGACGTGCTGTTGGCTACACTTCCACAGATACTTCTAAAGAGCATTATCAGAGTGGTCTATTGCTCAGCACATTGTCCATACCTAGTTTCAGTCTGTTATTGAAATTAAAAGCAATTAAATCGGCCATCTATGAACTTTCCTTCAGCTGAAAAGAAAGGACAGAAATACAGGATTTGTATTGAAGTTATCCCTCCCCTAAACAACATTGTGAAGCTTTACTTTCATGTTTGAGAACAGATGATACAAAATGTCCAACTATCCAAAGAAATAACCAGTGGTGTCTCTGCAATCCATTTATGCGTGGATAAACATGTATTCAAATACATCTCGTGCAATTCCCATCTTCAAAATTAGATAAGTGTAATCAAATTCAAACATTACGTGCTGCAAACATAGCCATCTAGATTTAAAGAATGAGATATTGCCAAAAACGGCTCTGATCAATACGTACTAGTGCAAGGCTGCGTCTTAGTGTAGCTGGGTGCTTTAGTAAGAGGGAAGGGAGGAAATCTGTGCCAGAAGCATAGAGGGTAACAAAAGAACGCAGGTCTGTGAAACAGTCTTTTGCACCAAACGTGTCATTGTTATGAATGTTACCTGAAGCATCTGGGTTAGCATCTCTACAGACCACAATCAATGATTCAGTCTAACAGTCAGAAAATCACTGACAGTCGGCAGAAGTCAGTGATTTTCCACCTGATGTTTCTCTTTTCTGAAGGTCGAAGCGAACTTGTCTATTGGTGGCGTGGCAGATGCACATTGGAGCATATTTAGTTTTGTTTTGTATAAAAAAGGTGTGAACTCTGGGAGTCTGCTCTTTTGTAGTTTTCATCACCAGGATTAACAGCCAAATGTGCTGTTTTATAAAGATTAGGCCCAGGTTTAAATTAAATTAAAATGTGTACAGACTGAAACAGGGGGAAGACAACACTTGCTGCAGCCAAGAAAATGCCAAACACAGTCAGTCTACAACCAGTAGCCAGAGCGAATCATGGCTCTGCAGTTTCAATATCTCAAATAGTTATTTAGAAAGACCTGGATTAGTTGGACTCCAAAAATATCTGTGTAGGTATTTAATTTTAGATTTCACTGTACAAAAACAGGTCATCCCACATTGGCTTTCTGAAGGTGTACTGTGGACAAGTACGAGTCAGGTCTGTGGCGATGCAAGCCCGCTCCAATTAAACCCATAGTGTGGAATAAACTAGACTTAACTTACTGCACTGAACACATTGAGATACCTACTCTCGCTTTCCACAGACCTGACATGTAACTATTCCGATGGATACTTTTTACTTTGAACTCACAATATGCAAAAGCAGGAATCTGTACTTTCTACTTCACAAGAATTTCATTGTTTTAAAACACATTCCAAAAGAAATTGTGCACAAATGTTTGAAGTTGTAAATATGCCGTTGAGAGTCTGCTGTGGGACACTGATTTTGCTGTAGTGTAAGTGACAGCTGTACTGGGGCAGGACATGCGCCTGGGATGATGAGAACAGGGCAGGCGGTGGAGTTGAGTGGCTGTGTTCTGTGCTGGTTCTGCTGACCGCTGCTGACCGCTGTGAGAAGAACACATATTAGCACATGTCGATGACCATACAAGTCCCACACATCAGGTATGGCATCTGATCGCAGTCAGCAGTGAGAGTTCTGTAGGTTAGTGAAGCGTCTAACAGCTCAGTGTGTGGTGTGCTTTAAGACACACAGAGCTCTGAGAGTTTCACATTTTGCTGTTTATTTTTAGAGCATATCCCCTGCGATATATGAGGGACCACTTTACTTCAATACATTTACATTTACAACATTTGTTATAAAACCATCACAGCCCATTTCATAAAAAAACAAATATTTACTTCTAAAATAAACGTGAAAATGATGTCTTGCGCCACTTGATCCACTCTTCATTTTGGCTGCATCTTTTAATCTGAATAACGGTAGTCAACATTATTCTTTTGAGGAGAATGTGATACAGAGAAGTTACCGGGCTTGTTCACGCCAAAAGGCCCAAGTGTGACAAAAGGCGAAAAATTTGATTTTAATAATCAGAAGATGTTTCATGTTTTTCATGTTTCCAAACCCCTCCTCTGTCCTTTAGAAGTTGCTAGAACATAACTGTTTTATACATTAGACAAGTTTCCTAAAGCCCTGTTTATTTTATGTAACGGTGATGATTTGACGGAATGAGCTGCAGAAGTTTGATATGTATTTTAAATGTCCACATTTGATTCAGAGATTCTATTATTTTACACAAAGTAGAAACAAAGTGATACTTTCATATAGTTAACCAATTAAGTGTGAATTTTTCTCAAGTTAAATTTTTAGAGAAAATAGGACGGAAACCATCACGTCCGTTACACCTTTTTCAAGGGTCATTTATTTTTTTAACAATTTCTTTTTATATAAAGTGATTAACTTATGTTCTGTTAATGTTCATCTGCCGCTTTTTCAGACTGAGGACATTTTATTTTCTATGTAACTGGCGTCACAGTAGAATGTTCCAATCAGAGGCTCATTTGGTCGTTTAAAATGTCGCCAAAAATATATTTGTTATCTTTCCTTTTGGTTTTATCCACACTATCTCTTCAATTTGTCTGTTTCAAATCTTTTTATCTAATCTATGATAGCAATTTTAGTTTTTGAGTTAGACCCTTTTAAAGTCCAGACACTTTACTGTGAACACATAGTTGCACACATATTGAGAACATAAAAATTCCATTATTTTAAAAAAGACATTATTAGAACACTGCAACATACATTTTACTGCAATTTTGTCTTAAACACAGCAGCTCACGCCTTTTCAGTAGCGTTAGGACAGGACTAAATACCGCCTTGAGGTTCTGTGACCAAACTATAGGCCCAGACACACAGTAGTACATCCATGAGCGAGGTCGGGCTGCTTGATCAGACTACACACCTGTCTCACGTCTCCCGCTCCTTCTTTACAGTGACATCTCCGGTGGGGGCCCCATGGCCCGCTGTAGGGGCGGGGCTAGAGCCTGGGGGTGGGGCAGCAGCAGGAACAGATGAAGCTCCTGCCCCAGCCGAGCCCAGGATGGTGGTGACCTCTCCCTGCATAAAAGCCCAGGGAGGACTGTTTGGGGTGTTATCCAGTGGACAGCGCTCTCCACTGGGACAGTACACCTCCCCATCTGCTCTGCGGCTCTGGATGTATACGCGAGTGCAGGGGAAGCAGAACCTGCGGAGCACACTTTAAGTCACTATGGTATGTCATACATCAGACAGTGGGAAACGCTTCTTACGTGATTACAAGCCATATTCATTCACTTATCTTGATTGTAAATAATAAATCGTAAACTGTTCCCAGTATAACAGTTAAAGGTAGTGTAATGGAAGAGTGCAAACATGACTTACCTGTGCCCTTGCACTGAGGGACACTGCACAAAGTGTGTGTCCTCCAGGCGCTCGTGGCACAGCGTACAGGACAGTGTGTTTCCAGCTGAGTGGCTGCTGCCTGATGCCGAGCCCAGCTCGGAGGCCCCTCCGTGGGGCAGAGCTGGAGCAGTGTTGGCCGCCTCCACAGACGTGCTGGAGTTCAGGGGCTCTCCTCCGGGCCGAGTGGCCATGGGGCGAGGCTGACGAGCAGGAGAAGAGGCAGGCTTGGGGCTGGTCTGGCTCACACCTCCTGCCATGGCTGAGGCCGTCAGAGGGAGACCGGTACTTTTATTGGCACTGACTCCAGCTGAATGTACGGGCGTCTGGGACTTGGACTGGCCCTGTGATGCACTCAGCTCTCTCTCCAGCTCCTGGGAGATGAAAGGTCCTATGCCCATGCTAATGCTCATCTGTCTGCGGCTCATCTCAGCCAGCACGGGCGCAGGGAAGATCATGGGGTTGTTTATCGGGGACGCCCTAGCTGCCAAGCCTGCTGGCAGGAGCCCGGGGGGTATGCCTGCTATACTCTGAGACACTAGACTGGGAGGGATGGCAGCCCCCAACATGGGCCTCCTGCTGCCGCTGGGGCTCTGCCGGTTCAGTTCCTGCGGGTGGTCCCTGTGCAGTCCGTTGGGAGGGACCCTGACCGCAGACACTCCGTCCCCTCTGCCTGCCCCGTGTGAGGCGTGTGTCCTGGAGTCCCCGGGGGCCTCTCTGCCCGTACTGCTGCTGTGTTTGTTTGGGGAGGGCCCCGGGGAGCGGACTGCCCCGTCCTGCATACCGTGGGTGCGCTTGAGCTGGCGGGCGTTCGCGATCAGGAACTCTATCTGGTTGGAGCCCTCGTAGTTGACACAGCCCCGGCAGACCACCTCGCTGAAGTCCCACACCACGGTCCAGGGCATCTTGGGCAGGTCACACAGGTAACACCACTGGCGCCGAGACGAGGAGGGAGACGACATGGCTTTGCTGTTGCTAGTGCTAAGCTAACTCATACAGCCCCCGCTAACTGCTACCGGAGGCTACACGTTTGTCTCTGCCTACAGGAGCAGACCGAGGCAGTCCCACATCCTCCCCCTCTGTGCCGGAGAAGAGGCTCTGATCCCCGCAGAAGAGACTGTATCTTCAGTGTTTGTTTACCCCCGCGGCCTCCGTGTGCTGCTGTCACGGTCCCGTCAGGCGGACTGGCCTTATGTAACACAGAGCTGGTGCATTGTGGGAACAGTAGTCCTCCTAACTTGTTAGATCAGTGCGAAGGAGCGCACAAGAACTACAGCAGAGGAGCGGAAGTACCACTGGCCCCGCCCCCTGGCCCCGCCCCCTGGCCCACAGAAAGCGTGCGTCCAAACAACGCGTTCACAACTTTCATGCTTTGGTCTGGCTAAAGTGTGTTTTTTGTTTTATTAAAATGCCCCGAGACTCATCACCATCATCCTCCTCTTCCTCCTCTTCTTCCTCTTCTTCCTCTTCTTCCAGTGAGGACGAGGGTCCGGGCCCAGAGACCCACGCGGAGCTGCATCTAGCAGGTCAGTCCGTCCACGTGTTTACTGCTGCTACCACTCCAGCTACTCCGTTTCTTCTTGGATAATACATTTTCGGCTAATCTTTCATGAGTGACTTCGCTTGGGTTACGGAAGCATTCATTTGAATAAAATACATTGTCTGTTAGTATTTTGAGGTACATTCTGTGTTTTGTTACTTGTTAAGTAACCATAAAAATTAAAGCAAGCAGAAGTTCCATTACACTTAAACAAATACATAATTCACACTAATCAAGCAATATAAGACTTGATTAGTGATTAGTAACATAACCCTTTTCTACCCTTTTCTGCAAACTGCATTTGCAGTTTTTGTAATCCGCATTGTTTTGCAAGATGTTGTTGTACATCTTTGCCATGTTTTTGTGGAGTTCAGTGGATTTCTTACTGCCAAAGCTCTTTGCTAGCAATGAACGGAGGACGTGTTTTTAAAAGTAAACACACAGTTAGCATCTGAGCTAAAGGCTTTTTGAGCAGTATTTAAGACCTACAAATCCAGAGATATCATCTTCTGAAGCGCTGACAGGTCACCGAGGGCCCCACCGAGGGCCCCACCGAGGGCCCCACGCATCTGCAGCACAGTGGAGGCGTCACAAGAGGCCCTACAGGAGGCCCTACAGGAGTCTCTACAGGAGGCCCTACAGGAGGCCCTACAGGAGTCCCTACAGGAGTCCCTACAGGAGTCTCTACAGGAGGCCCTACAGGAGTCCCTACAGGAGTCCCTACAGGAGTCCCTACAGGAGTCCCTACAGGAGGCCCTACAGGAGTCCCTACAGGAGTCCCTACAGGAGTCCCTACAGGAGTCCCTACAGGAGGCCCTACAGGAGTCCCTACAGGAGTCCCTACAGGAGTCCCTACAGGAGTCCCTACAGGAGTCCCTACAGGAGTCCCTACAGGAGTCCCTACAGGAGTCCCTACAGGAGTCCCTACAGGAGTCCCTACAGGAGTCCCTACAGGAGTCCCTACAGGAGTCCCTACAGGAGTCCCTACAGGAGTCCCTACAGGAGTCCCTACAGGAGTCCCTACAGGAGTCCCTACAGGAGTCCCTACAGGAGTCCCTACAGGAGTCCCTACAGGAGTCCCTACAGGAGTCCCTACAGGAGTCCCTACAGGAGTCCCTACAGGAGTCCCTACAGGAGTCCCTACAGGAGTCCCTACAGGAGTCCCTACAGGAGTCCCTACAGGAGTCCCTACAGGAGTCCCTACAGGAGTCCCTACAGGAGGCCCGGCCTCCGTTGTGTGCAACTTCCACAGAGGGACTGTAGAGAGCATCCTGACCAGCCCCATCACTGCCTCCTGCCGAAGGAGAGCAGCAGAGCAGATCTGTGGAGCCCCTCTCCACCATTAAGGACATGTACTCCACCCGTCTGTGGAGCCCCTCTCCACCATTAAGGACATGTACTCCACCCGTCTGTGGAGCCCCTCTCCACCATTAAGGACATGTACTCCACCCGTCTCACCCACAAAGGCGTCAGAATCACCAGGGGCCCTACGCACCCATCACACAGGCTCTTCAGGGGCCTTCAGGGGCCTTCAGGGAGGAGACTGCAGAATTTACGGAACAGTTCCTGTCAACTTAAAAACAGTTTCATTCACAAGGCCATCAGGAAGCTGAACTCCCCCCCCCACCCCTCTCCCTCCCACCCCCGCTCTCCCTCCCACCCCTCTTCCCCCACCCCCCGCTCCACAATCAAGGATGAGAGAAATATCATTTCAAACCATTCACTTGGTTTGACAAATAAAAAATCTTAATCTTGAAATTTGACCTTTTCACACACAATAAAATAAGCTAAGATATGATAAGACAGACTTTATTGATCTCACACCGGAGAAATGTACATGTCACATCTGGCATGGATAGAATCACTCAAGGTTTGTGCAAAAGACAGAAGTGTGCAAACATGTTAAAATACAAAAATAATTAAATTCCAATAAATAGTGCAGTATTAAACTTACCAGCACAATACAGAACATACAATGTGGAAAATGTACTCAAAATGTACATTGCAAGACCACTTAACCGCTCCTGACCCATTGAAGCTCTCAAGTGTGTTTTTATTAACACAACAAATGAATTATAGATATTGTATGATGAAATTATCACTTTAATAATCTAGTACCATTATCATAATTATTATTATCACCTAGTATTTATAACCTTAATATTAGTAGTGCATTATGCTAACACTGTTAATATTATGTCTAAATTACAAATATAACAAAATACTTCCGATTACCAAAGGAAGCAGGTTTATTTTGAAGGTGTGCACCTTCACCACAACAAAGAGCTTGACTGATGAAGTTGTTTTGGGACTCGTTAAAAACAGAAATAAAACATGTCAGACACAATATTCAACTTTCTTTGCAGACGTCAATGCGCCGGGTCGGCACCACACGTTTTTTACGCGACTGTTGTTCCCGCAGTTTGGTCTTTTTTTCCTTTATTCATCACTTCAGCGTCTCAGCCTCTGCTGTGGCTGCGTGACTGACAACAACAGGGTGGAGGGAGGGGAGGGCTGAATGTGCGACGCAAGGACTGAGGATCATGGGAGACAGCAAGTGACAACTTTAAAAACCAATCAAATGGGTGATTCCGGATAAGAAGGGCCTCGTAACTGCACGAGTGAGAGCGATGTAAACAAAACAAAAAGATGAGTCCGCTCTCCGGGGCCCTTCCAGCTGCGGGGCCCTACGCATACTGCGTAGTCTGCGTATAGGAAGCGCTGGCTCTGTTCTAAACACAGGAAGAAGTTGGTACTGCTTGGGGATGGGACTAACGACACTGGTGCGTCAGCGCTGTGCCGAGTGCTCAAATGTGAACCCCCGTATTGGTGCATGTATCGCTTTAACAAAAAAATCACAATACAAAAACTGTCTTTTGTATGTGCTGCGCCAAATTGTGTTTATAATGAAGTGAACTGTGTCAACAAGCTGCGGGCTGTTGTACCTCTATCAAACAAGTGTTTTGTCTAAGGCTGGGGAACTTGAGGAGAAATGGCCTTGGAGCAAAGATACTTAAAAAAAACTATTGTTTCACAATAAAATGTCCGTCCATCCATCCATTTTCTTCCCTTTAATCCAGTCAGAGCTGCACCAAGCACACATGGCACCAGCCCCTCACTGATCCTCCTGCAGGAGGTGAGTCCACAGGAACCTTGATCTTCCAGTGGGGGCTTCAAGCAAAGTGGGGTTAAGTGTCTTGCCCAAGGACACAACGACAGCAGACATCAGTGGGAGTCGTGAAGTAGGTCTTGTGGTGGGCTTGAACCCACGACCTTCAGGCCCAAAGGCTCTACCAACTGAGCCACTGTTGCAGTAAAATGTACGAATGAATAATTTTCTAGTGTTATTTCATATGATTGAACACAAAATGGGGCGACAGTAGCTCAGTTGGTAGAGCATTGGCCTTAAGGCCAGAAGGTCGTGGGTTCAATTCCCACCTCTACCCCTTCTCCATCGACTCCCACTGATGACTGCTGTCGTTGTGTCCTTGGGCAAGACACTTAACCCCACTTTGCCCAAAGCCCCCACTGAAAGATCAAGGCTATGCTCACACTCAGAGAGCAGCCGTCCTCCTGTGGACTCACCACCTGCAGAGGGTCAGTGAGGGGCTGGTGCTATGAGACTTGGGTGGCATCTCTGACTGTCACCCCCCTGACCCAGAAATGGATTAAAGGGTAGAAAATGGATGGATGGATGGATGAACACAAAATCCCATTCATAACTAGAAGAACCACATCTTCTATTCAGAAAGATGTTCCAGTGATTTAATTGACAGCTTTGGGTCTTTTTTGGCAAGTCTGACCAGAGGATTTTCCTCATGTCTGAAGGAAGGACACCAGGGCAGTCCGACTGTGGCCCCTGCTTTCACTTTTTAATTCTGAGTCTCAATATACTTCATGGCTCAGGTAAAGGCTCAAAGGTTCATACTAACCTCCAAAAAAATTACATTTAAAAAAATAAATAATAATAATCCTCATACTGATAAAACTAGACACACATTTTTAGTAATATTGTCCATAAGGATCAGTCCCATTCTCATTTAGAGAATGTCCAATTTTCTTTGTACTGTTGCCATGACTGATAATACATTGCTTTAATAAACGGTAAAATGCAAGTATGAATGAATTTTTCTGAAATATAATCAAAAAGATGTATACAGGATGGACTCATTTTTGTCGTATAAACATGGAGGGTCTAAGCAAGCATAGGGCAGGCTCGAGGACTTCTATCCATATTTTTCACTTAATGACAGTTATTATTGTTGGATTTTTTTTTTTTTCTGCTGTTGGAAAATCAAACATTTTGTGACCAAACAGAAATGGATTTGATTTGCTCTATATAGGGATGTCCCGATCACTATCTGATCCCAATCAAATTGTAAAACTTGAAATCCGATCTGATTTTTATCCATCCATCCATCCATTTTCTACCCCTTAACCCTTTAGGCGCCAGAGTTTTTTCAAGAAAATATACAATTTTGATTTCAAGATTTCAAAAGGCTATAACTTTAAAATGGTTTGAGATAAAGGCATACTGTAAATTAGAAATATCTTCAGTTTGAACCAAACTTTGGGATGGAAGTTGATTCGTCATCTAATTTGCATATTGTGACGTCATCAAGGTGGCGGCCATTTTGGAAAATGTTAATTCTTGTATAAAGACTTCAAAAAGCTGTAGCTTGGGAGTTATTTGAGATCAGGGAATACTATAAACAGTCAATGTGAAATATCTTTAGTATAAAATGAACTTGGGATAGAAATAAATTCCCTGATCCAGATTATAGATAATGTTTTAGCACTGGTTCGCGGCCATATGGAATTGTATTATTTTCAAAGACCTTCAGTGATCAAGACAGCACCCTTTATAGTTTACAGTCATGAAATTTTGAGATTGGTTTCAATATTTCCCTTTCAAAGAAGTGGTGAGCTTACTATTTTTCTCAGTGGAAATGAGGCTCAAGGATTTACCGTTTAGAAACAGAGAGATGAAATGAATGGGCTCAGAACTTGTCAGATCGTCTCAACAACATACAACAGGCTCTTCAACACTTCTGATCCACTTTTGTGGATTATTTTCTCTCAAGAACTGCCTTCATCCTCATCATCACTGGTAAAGGCAGTGAACGCGATTAGCGATGTGTTTTTTTCCCGCGGCTCCCCCGCGGCTTCTCCCGCGGCTTCTCCCGCGGCTTCTCCCGCGGCTTCTCCCGCGTCTCCCTTGTTCCCTATGGATGTCTACCCCCACTACTTTCTCCCACATGCCCGGTGTTATGATCCCCCTGTCCCCTCGACCACGGATCCTGCTTGGCGTTCGCAGAATGCTTCTACCGCGGCCACACGGAGGACAAGCAGCCGCTGCACAGGGGCTGATTGTGGACTATGGAGCGCGGTCTCCCCGTCACCAATAATGTCCGTGTCTGCTTCACTGGACACCTGAGTGTCTTCCTCCTCTGAATCTGAGTGAGCCAGTACCAGACCAAGTACTTCTCTGGTACTGAAGACCTCGTGAGTAAATAAAAAACACTCTCTCCCTCTGCTCTGCTCTCGCTCCTCTCAGCTCTACCGCTGCTGCTTCGCCTCCGCGCTGCTGCGCCGCAGGTGTTTTACGAACTCAATTTACTCAAAAACTTTCAATATAACCACACCCACAAATGTTGCTCATATTACAGACACACATGTCCACTAACCCCTGGTGAAAAGTATTAACAATAGTGATGTGCGATTCGTGAACGAATCGTTCAAAACTCGAGATTCACTTTACTGACTCGGGAGTCGTGATTCCCCGCCTCCATTAACTCGTTCACCAACTCGTCCGCCCACCACTTTCTAAACTGCAACCCCCAGACTGCGTTTTCTACTAGCCACAATGAATGACACTCTAATATTACGTGTGTGACTGTGTGTGTGTGTACTGTAGCTCGTTTGAGCACAGAAACCAAAAGCTTATCGTTTACAACCATCTACTTCACCGTAACGTCCTCCTTCCTGCCTGCCCGCGCCGTACGAGCCGTACGAGCAGTGAACGACTCACTGTGGTTCTGGATCAGCCCCTTCCCGCTCCCCTTCGAGTCGTTCAGCTCTGAACGAATCGTTCATCTGATCTGACTCACTCACTCAGCATCAAGCGAGTCGAAACAACAGGACAGGACACCGACTCGTCTCGTAACTCTCGTTCTCTAACTGGGTTGAAAAAAGTAGTTTCTTTTGCCCCATCTGACAAAAAATAATAACCCTCTA